AGCCCGGCGCGGCGGGGCGTGGTCGGGCACCATTAGGCTGTTTCATTTTACAGGACGAAGTATTCGATCATGCCGAAAACGCATTTTAAAGGAAAGACCACCCGTTCAAGCGACGACGAACCCCAAACAGTGATACGGGGTGTCATTTGACCAAATTAAAATACTTCGGGGGCGTGCAGGTGTTGCGCCGAACGCCTGCGTGACTCACCCGGGGCACGGAGAGGCCGACGTCCGTGTGTCCGAGGCCGTGGGCGTCCGGGACCAGCGTGACGGGGACGTCCTTGGAGGCGATGGGGGCGCCGCCGTCGGCTGGGGCGAGGACCACGGAGAGCACGGCGCTGGTGGCCGCGGGTGCTGCGGGGCGCGCGCCGGCGCCCGCCTCCCAGTGCACGCGCACCCGCGCCTCCCACGCGCCGCTCGCCCCGGGGCTCGCGTCGAAGCCCACGTCCCGGAGCACGGCCTCGTCGTACGCCTCGAGCGCCACTCCCTTCCACAGGCCCGCGGAGGGGAAGGCGGGGCCCCAGTCCCAGGCGAACGAGGCCTGCATCTTGCGCAGCAGGTTGACGGAGCACTCGCCGTGGTAGTTGGCCGGCGGGCAGGTCGGCGGCACCACGTACTGCTCGGCCTGGCGGGCGGCGCGGGCTGCGGCCGCCAGCACCGGCGAGGTGAAGTGCACCTCGAGCAGGTTGGCGGCGTCCTCCTAGAGCAATAACACAAGTTACACCACACGATACGGGATAAAAAAAATGTTCGCTAAAATAACTAAATTCATTATGCATATCGCTTGGATTCACAGTATGACCTCGTATAGCTAATTCTTAGTTGACATATTAGCTTACGTGCTCTATTTTCTACACAATGTTATGGCTATTTTTTAGCCATCTTAGCTAACAATTAGCTAGGCGAGCTAATATTATCGAAGCCCATATTAGCAAATGCATTAGCTCATTTAGCTAATTCTTCTCTTCCCGTGCAGGGCAAACGTTTTTCTGCCGTTGCTGGGGCTCCACGCGGGAAAAAAGATTCGCTACATAGCCAAACAATAGCCAATATAACAGCTTCAAAAGGTAATTAGCTATTGCAAAAAATTAGCTATCTAGCTAAACTTTTTGCTCTGCAGCTAAACAAAGTTGAATGTTTAGCTAGATAACTAAACACCATTGACGCCGTGGTCGCCTAGCATGCCAAAATGTTGGCAGTCCTTTTTGACCGCCAAATTTTGGCCGTCTTTTGGAGGCTACCAAATGTTGGCCTCTTTGAATGCCAAATTTTGGCCTTCTCTTTAGAGGCTGCCAATTTTTGGCCTGCCTGAATTTGGCATTTCTGGAGGCCAAAAATTGGCAGCCTCCTATAGAAAGCCAAAATTTGGCAGCCAAAAAGGACTGCCAACATTTTGGCATGCTAGGCGACCATGGCGTTAACAGTGAATAAGTAGTTGTGCAAGCGAATCAGTTTTTTTCTATGCACGCCCAGGCCGCACCAGCCACACCCCGTTCCCTCACCTTGAGCAGGTCCTTGACGTCAAAGCGGTACCGCACGAACATGTTGTCGGTGTGGCCGAGCAGGTGGCCGTTGAGGTAGACGTCGGCCACTGTGTCCACACCGTGGAGCACCAGCACTTGCTTTGCCTTGGCCACGGCCCCTCGAGGCACTGCAAAAGTGTCAACACTTTTTGTACTTGTTTCAGTGAAAGGCGCCCCGTGCTCTCGGCGGCGTCCTCTTCCTTTTCTCGCCAGCCCCGGACGGCCGGCGGCCCAGCGCCTCTGCTGCTCTAAAAAGGGCGGCTGCGGTGCGGTCGGGGTAAACACTCACTTGAAACGACTTCAAAGTAACAAGTTACTCCTCGCGCGCCCGGGGCCAGCATTATTGAGTACACGGCTACGGGGAGGCTGCCAAGACATTGGCAAAGCAGTTTTAATTGATAGCTGAGCTGAATACATCACTGTTAACGCCGTGGTCGCCTAGCATGCCAAAATGTTGGCAGTCCTTCTTTCAAAAGAAGGCCAACTTTTGGCATTCAAAGAGGCCAAAAATTGGCAGCCTCTTAAAAAAAGCTCAAAATTTGGCATTTAAAGAGGCCAACATTTGGTAGCCTCCAAAAGAAGGCCAAAATGTGGCTGTCAAAAAGGACTGCCAACGTTTTGGCATGCTCGGCGTACGGCGTGAACAGTGATCACGTGGCTAATCTTAGTAGCCGTTCACTGGAAAAACTAATGTTAATGTTACCGAGGGAACGTTTCATCATGTGACCAAGCCCGGTAACGTTTCCTGATGCAACCTACCCTCTACACTGAAAAAAAAATACTGTGGTGCTAAGGACAGGCGTGTTGCTGTGGCTTGTCGTACGTGGTTGACGTTAGACCAATGACAGAAG